TATTCGTAATCAAGGCATCCAAGTTTTTATCGACTTTGGTGAATAACTTTGTGGCGTCAGGCGCCAAGCGGCTGAAAATCTTTGCCATGTCCTGATTAGGGTACCGACTAATCTCTACGCAAGTCTACATCGGTTTTGGTGAGAAGAGTGTGGCGCAAAATTTTCGTCGGAAGGCGTCAAAAGCTAATGTCGTCCTCGTAATCAGGACATCGATCACCGCTACGAGCAGTTTCACCAAATTTTTTTGGTTAGAAATAGTTAAGTGGTGCCTTATTTCTACGAAGTTTTCGCTTTTAACGTACTTTTAACACGCTACCTCCTTATATATCCCCGAGATGGGGCAGGCGTGGCTACATGTTTTAACTTAATCTGAAGGCGTATATGCTTCTGGTGAAATATTTCCATCTTGGCAAACTTGTCGTCATGTCCCTGTCGAACACAGAACAGAACGGCAGTTGTCCCAGACTGGAGCATTCCACGAGTAAGCAGTTTCGTGCCATGTTCAAATGTCACGCCTACTCTGGCTCAGAGACATATCCTATCATCACCACTGGAATTATCTGTAGCGTGCAAAATGAACGAAGTGATAACGGGTGGTTCATTGTCACTGTTGACTCGGCTGGGATTAGTTGCGGTTTGACTCGCGTCTGGAACGGTGGGCTCCTTCCTTTTTCATATTCCAGGTCATTTAATAGCTTAACGCCATTTGGAGTGGATCGTTATTGGTAGATCTCTCTTTTTATGATGGGCAAGGCGCAGGGCACACATCTGAGAAAAACGCGGCCTTCCCAAAGACTCTATAAGATCAGCGCGAAATACGCTTCCAAGTTCCAAGTAGTCGGTAGGCGGATATTCTGTAAATTGCAAACTACAAGGCAGAAACTGCCAAGTTCAGGGCCAACATGACTACTTCTAACCCTACTGCTTCTATCCTTTCGTCATCAGCAGAGCCTTCTGATTTATCAGGTATACTACCTCTGACTATGGTTCCACTTTTTTTTGGTCATTGGGGGCATTACTATCGTTTTCCGTTTTCAGGAGATAGCGGAGCAACAGTGCCGGGCCAAAGTTCTTTTCTTACGACAGGTTTGTGACCTGTTTTCCAGAAAAAATTGACGGTGGGGTAGTTGGGGGTTCAGCGCTAAGAGCAGACCACGCCCTCCATCTGCCCGTCCTTCTAAACGTCAACTGTCGTAGTTGGGACTGTGGACGAGCAGAGAGCGGCGTCGTGTCGCTGTGTGCGCGTCTGCCTGTCTGTCACGAAATTCATAGCGAGCGTCGCAGAAAAAGTAGTATGACAGCTTGAAGAAAAGATATACATGACAGGACGGGAACACTTTTGGTGGTGATGGAAGGTGATAACACCTGATAAAATTCGATAAGGGGCCTTATGAAGGGGAGGGTGACCGAGCCCCATAGTCGGGTCACAGTGGCCAATGGGAGCATTTGTTCGGCAAGGTATGGATATAGGACGGGGACTGTTGATATCCACATTTATCATTTCAATAACAAGGTGATATTCGCGATCATGATCTTCAGTGACCCTTCCCAGGGCACATCATTGGTTGGGGATTCCTAGTCGAGTCGGCGATCCCCCCCCTTTTTTTTTTTGTTAAAGGGGAGTCGTAATCGTCTGGCGCAGGAAAAGCCGCCAGATCGGATACACTCCCCTTCTACAATTCTCAGATTTTTCCAATTTTTCTGCGCACTTTTCTAAAAAATCCCCGAAAACTTCCTAATTCGTGCTGTCGAGCGAGAGGGTATACAGGTGGGGGGCGGGGGGGCAAAAAATGTCATACCGGCCGAGTCAAATATGAGCGAAGTTTTCGCAGCCGACAGACAAGGAAGTGATACAATACCAGGGGGGGGAAATACGCCCAAGATTCTTCCGCTAATAAAGCAGAAGCCGGCTGCCGCCATTCACACTTCATGTAACACTAAAATATGAAGTCATACTCAAGTCCGCGCTGAGTGAAGAACGCCTATGGATTCAGCGTGGCCTCCAAACCAGCTGGCGGTAACTTCTTGAATGGAATCAACCCATGGATAAGCTACCCGAGACCAGTAATCCTTGATCTGCAAGACTTCAAAAATCGAGCCACTCCGACAAAAGTCAACTCGCGAGAAGAAAATCGCTCCCTCTACATGTCGTCGCCCGTTCATCTGGAAACTTTGTTAATGCTACAGGATCGGGTTGCCATCACATGGAATTGTAAGGGGGATTTGAAAAAACCTCGCCTACTCGGAATGGGATTGTGTTGTGTACCTGAAAGGATGATGGAATTATCTAAAGCGGTGCATCCTGACCGCTAAAGCCATCCTCCAATTACCCGATTTGGGCGGAGCTCAACAGGTGTTTACAGTGGGCGTAGAAACAACTATGTCGGCTGACTCAGGCAAACCAGAATCCGGTCGCGGTGCAAGAATCTCTCCGATAGCAGCTCGCCTAGAAGGGTGACGGAGCAATGCGTAATACAGTTTTATATGCTGTTGTAGTATGGTGGTAAAAGGGACGAACGAGGAACGAGGACAACAACGCCCGCCCCCCACCTTCCTAACAATGAGCAAGTAGACCCCCCCCCCGCCTTGTTATAACGTCCGTGAAGCGAGAAATCAAACGATCATAACAAATTTTCCTACAGCCCACCCCCTCTCCTCTGCGGCGACAATACAACCCCCTGTTGGGGAAATTACCCAACATAGACGAACTGTCCCTGCACCCCCTCCCCTCATGTTCTTCCATCAGGGGCTACATAATTATCCCTATAATCAAATTTTTATGCAAAAAGTTTTTTGAGTTTCTGGGTGGGAACAGTTGTGGTGACCGAATCCGCCCCCTCCCCAACCTTATATTTTCGTAATAAGCGCACGCACGTGGCAAGCGTGCGACTGAATCTTAAGGCTTGTATTAGGTTGGCGGGAAAGTTCTCTCACATTTTTTCAAATTAGATTTTCATTTTACGGTTATGAGAGATCCTTGCCAATTTTTGGACAGTTCGTGGATGCCAATCGCTTAACAATGCACGCCGGACGCGCTGCAAAGTTGGACATTCATCTCAACTGTTGACTGGCATCGTGGAAGATTTGTCTGATGACTGTAACATTGTCCTTGTGCAGCTCCATTATTTCGGCGTCGACAGCTGCCATGTTGGCGCGCAGTATGTGGTACAAGAAATCCTTCAAGACACATGGTACGCTCATGACCCATTGAGGGTGTATGAGACTATCAGCCGCCCCAGAATGTTCGATGTGTCGTGGTCCCCCCGCCCAACTGCACAGAAATGGAGATACAGGGCGTGAACACGCTAATTCTTCATGCTTCCGCACCACTGCCTTTTACGCGGCAGCCTTCCCGCCGTTCATAATATCCGTCGTAAGCGCGCCTGTCGACGTGCGGCTCCTTGGCACTTTGCCAGGTCCTTTAATTGCGCTCACAAATAACAAGGGAAACGCAATTTCCTGATGCGGATAACATTGGAGTACTACAAAATAAAGAGGGGAAGATGATGACAAGGGGCAGAACTCAAGAGCAACTCGCTGCATCTGCAGTATCATATCAAGGGCCGCGCATTCCCACAAAACATGAAAATAAAAAACAGCCCAAAGCCTTTGGCGCCGGATCGTAGAAATTTACAGGCCAGTTTATCTAATTTGCCTTCCCTTTGACTTTTTCATTATTGTTTTGTCTACATTTACATCGTTTGTCGTTCATTTTCTAGCCTGTGTCATCATCTCCTGTACATGGATTTTGAAGCATGAGGCAATACCTAAAATTTCATTCGCGATCAGGAATTTGCGTCTTGCTTGTAATTAAACTAGGAGTATGCCGTTTTTATTTTCATGTTTCGTGATATACGTGGCCTCCCGAGGGATGTTGCAGAAGTGGCACAGTTTGCTTTTGAGTTCTGACTTTGTTCATCATCTTCTGTTCTTACTTTGCAGCACTTCCCAGTGTTTATCCGCCATCAGGAATTGCGTTCTCCTTGATTGAGAGCGCAATTAAAGGACTTGGCAAAAGTGCCCAAGAGCCGCACGCGACAGGCGCGCTTACGACGATGTTATGAACGGCGGGAATCTGCGCCGTAAAAAGGCAGTGGCGGAGCATGGAAGAATTAGCGTGTTTCACGGCCCTGTATCTCCATTCCTGGGCATGTTTGGGCGGGGAAGGCACGACACATCGACATCTGGGGGGCTGATAGTCTCAACACCCTCAATGTGTATGAGCGTACCATGTGTCTTTAAGTCAAGCGCTTGAAGGGGTCGGTGCTGAAGGTAGCGGATAACATTCTTGTCCATAATGCAGAATAAGGATGAGCTGGAGCCGAGTCAGTGAGACTATAAATAGAAAGATCAATCCTTAATGTATAAGTGCTCACATTACCGGTCAGCCCTCTTCAGGTAATAGACGAATACTTGGGTTCAAAAAAGTATGACAGAACTTTCCCGCCAACCTAATACCACAGGGGGGGGGTCTCAAAAGAAGTGGTCACCAAGTTTATAACGCCAGCCACAGCAGTGACGGGACGTTGGTTCCAATAAGTACATAGCACTAAGTAAACAACAGATTAATCAGGCAAAGTTTGTTCCGAATGACAAGCAATACTTTAGTAGGCAAGCCAGGGCACCATACTGACGATCTGCACCATTTTTGAAAAGTGGGCGAAGCCTCTGACAGCGGGGCGAGGCTTCGCGAAGCAGTCCAAAAATGCCGAAATTTTGAAAAAATATCAAAATTTCGCAAAAAGCAAGTAGGCGTAACCAAGGAGGCCGAGCCTGAATTGCTGGTGCATCAATGCGCGATTACGAGTATCTTCGTTGTGCAAGGAGTGGATGTGAAATAACGCTGAAAAAGTTATGAATTTTCAAAGTTTGCAACAAACACTTTACATTTCTAGTGAGAATTCGAAATTGTCCAGTGCACTGGAATGATCCCAAGGCCTGTATTGTTCCACCTGTTCTGTAAACAGTAAAGCATAAAACTGCAGGCTGGCAAGAAAGTGATGACTCAGCGTCACGTCGGATCATTAGTGGCTGACATCCATCGCACACTTTTCTACGGAGGAATAGTTCTCTATCCACCCACGAATGATGCCCCGGACGGAGAGGTGAGGATCGTGTCTTTCATGAGGTCGACTTCCCCCTGGTGCCCACTTAGAGTGCGGCAACACTGTACGCTTTAGGTCAGGCACTGAAGTGAACTCATCTGCTTGCGTATTTGTTGTGATAACCCGTGCAGGACAAAATCGTTGTTTCACCTTTCGCGGCAGTCAGTTCGAGTATCAGGTGCGAGCAGAATGCTGCTATGTCTTGAATATGCGATGCCCTGTTGCATGTGTGATTATGTCTTGTTACTCCGACCTCCGGTTGCGAATGTATCCAAAGACATATAGGGACAGCGGCCGTTAAAGCATAGTAAGATGCGAAAGGACACGTGCCCAGTCAGGAGACCCCACCTGTGTGTCACTGTGTCACCTGGTGTTGGAGAACCACCTGTCATACAATTGGCATCGTAGCAAATAGTTGGGCCGATTTCAAAAGGGACAAACTGATCCGACCTGCGGCAGTTTCACTGGATGTTTCCTTCCGAAATCGATCACTAGGCGACTACCATTGGTAAAGCAAGAAGGCGGGGGTGGGGGCCCCTACTGATTGCCGTGGCGTGTTACAAACTGTACATGGTTCTCGATCCTGTACTCTAATGGTAGCTCCAGCACTGATTCTGGAGCCGTGGACCAAGCAATAGTCAACAGCCGTTGTTGTTCCGTGAAGTGGTTGTTGCTCGGTTCACGATTGTAGAGTAAATGCTGGAGCTACCAATAAAAGTCCCACTGTTGTCATTGGAATCGTTGTTCTTCATGTCATTACATGCCAATCTGCTACAGTTCACGTCTGCCCTAAGCCTGGTTCCTAATTGATATATCAGGCTTACGACGTGGCTCACGCCTGAGCGTTGTTCATTTTGTCTCTCAGAATTAGGTTTCTCCTACATTGTCTCTCAGAATTAGGTTTCTCCTACTCTTGCAACGAAAGGAAGTTCTTTCTGGTTTTGAATGCCTTAACAAATCACGAAAAAATTATAAATAAGAGGTCAACCAGTATCTTCCAATGGAAGCCTGCAGAAAGTAATCGATTCTTCGATTGTAGAAACCCTGCTTCAGTAAAGACGACCAGTGACAAGTTTTGCATATTTCCAATGTAATCCAATTCTGTAATAATACATTTCCAATGTATCATTACCCGAAACATCAACGCATGGGTGGTGCTTCAGATGGAGCTCCGACCTGAAGAATAAGAGTCCACAAGGACACTACTGTTTACTGAACCCTAGCTTTGGTAGATCCCCATTGAATTTCTAGTACTCTTCTTTACGAGTAGCGGTTTCCCGTGGTAGGTGGAAGTCGCTCGAAAGACCTAGTTACCCATATATATTCCTGCAGCTGCGCTTTATCCCACAAAAGACTTGTTCATTTTCAGTTAAGAATGAATGCGCTGCAATGTCTTCTATCATCGAGCAAGAGCTTGGAGGTTCTCGCAAACGACGGGAAAGGTGATATGAACCAATTCTCTCTAAACAGAGAACCCGTGAAAGCATCCAGAGTTTCAGCGTGCGCTACTAGACGTCATTCCCGACAATAAATCAACGAACGCCTTTCTACGCTGGAAGTAAGGAGGATGTCGAGACGTTACTCACTTACATCAATAACGAGTAAATTATTGAGAACTTTTCATGCTCAAGTCTCATTGAAACAATAAAGGGTTTTTATTACATGGTCATCTTGTGACTTCGCGGCCGAAACGTGAGCGTTCTTGTTGGATATCGACCGACCAGACTTCTGAACTCGTATGTCTACATCACAAGTATACCCTTTCAATATACCCTTTCAACGTTAAACCACCTAAGGGGGGGGGGGGTAACGCCCACCTTGGTGGTTGACCGCTATAGTCAACGCATCCCTCTTTGCTGAGCATTCTACTGAGATTTGGAGAAGTGGGGGAACGATATCAAGACACTGCAGGCCTACTGGCAGGCGTACCCTTTGTGTGTGCAAGATGAGCACGTATGTAGCTATAGAAGGGTAACATTCCAACCATTCGAGATTGTGAGCCAAGTGAGATAAAGGCTTTCGACTGTATTGCTCTTCATTAAGAATACACTTTGTATGGTCGCAGTTAGTCGGGTTGATCTGGGGGGGGGGGTAGGCCGGACCCACGGATAGCATTGCCACCACTGGTTTTTTTCTTCCTAACAATAAGTCGATCACTAGCCGATCAATATTGGTAAAGCAAAGCAGCCGAAAACGGCTCATTTTGCCCACCCTACACCGCCCCATATGGATTAGGATTTTACAAACTGTACGTCTCGATGGACATGCTTCAAAGAAACAATTCTACCAGAATGTTAGTCTGATAAAAATTTGCGAGAAACAGTGGGAGGGGGAGGGGAGGATGCTCAATGGTTACTTCTCTATACTACGGTCTTCATACCGAGAATAATTAAAGATCGATCTGGGTCCGAGGTTTACGAGCGAGCTTCATCGAGAGTCGTATGCGGCGACTTTATAGAATACTGACAGAAACGTGAAGGTTCGGTGATTAACCAGGTCTTCTTTACAGCCTTTGTTGAACGAAGCGCCGTGGTGAACTGCTTTCCCGTTATTGGGACAGGGCTTTCAGCTCGGCAGCGAGTTCTCTTTTAGCAAGGGCTTGAGAAAGACGGTCCACGCACTTGCCGAAATACCGCTTCTGCCGGTGCTTTCTCTCACGGCACTGTCTGTTTTACATGGCGTACTTCTGATGAGAAGATGGGTACTACTACACTTGATACTCGTCAACTTTTCCTTTTCCAGTATCACAGAACAGCGGGATAAATTCTCAGTTTTGACATGCGAAGTCATCAAGACATGTGCTGCTATCTCTTGCGTGCTTTATCGGAATAAGCAATTGGTGGAGCACGGTTCTGGCAGGGTGCGATTGCCGCTTTCCATTGCAGATGATGGGGCGGACACGCCCCATTCAAATTGGACAAGCCTGTAAACAAGTGCTTAGACTAGCCATGGACCTTTCTAAACGTTATGAACACGCCAGTCGGATCGGCCGGCGAAGCCGGCCGATCCTCCTTCCGCGTGTGAAGTGGGTCCCTAAGGGAAGTTTTTCTATGAGAAAGAGGGCCAGTCGGATCGATCCTATTGCTTTCCACATTTTCCGCCCTTCTGGGCTTGTTTGAAGTACGAGCTTTTGAAATTTTTGTAGCAAGCCCCATCCACCTATAGTCCAATTGGGATGTGCCTTCTTCACTTAATTCGCCAGCTGACTTTCCCCCCATTTTTCTCTCCCCATGCTCATTTCGAACAGAATTACAAATTTTCAGAGGTTTATAGCAAGCCCCGCTCACCTATAGCACCCCCACCCAATCAAGGTGTGCCTCGTTCAGCTCATTCGCCATCCGATTTTCTATCGTTCCTCACATTTTCCGCTCTTCAGGCTTATTTGGAACTGAATTACGAATTCTTGAAATTTTTGTAGCAAGCCCCGCCCATCTATAGCACGCCCCGCCCAATTAGGGTGTGCCTGGTTCAGTTCGTCCGTCAACTGACTCTCTATTGTTTCCCGCATTTTCCGCTCTCCGGGCTTATTTGAAACCGAGTTACGGATTTTCAAAATAAAATTTCACTTTCCAGGGGCACGCCCCGCCTACAGTGGGCGGGGCTTAGCTCATTTTATGCGTGTTCCGTACATCTTGGCCCATGCCCTACTCATCACACCCCTCGCGCGCGCGCCGCCCCCCCCTCGAGTGGCTCTTCAGGATGCATGCCGAATTTCCCGGAAGACAGACAAACAGACAAACAAACAGTAGCGTTGCCGTTTTATATATCGTAGTGATAGTTGATCTGCTCACGTAGGACAGGCGTTGCGTCTACTGCCATCTTTACATACATCTGCAGGAAGCCAGCATGGCGATCCAGAAATAGTAAGGGGAGCTAACAGACTAGCTGCTTGTTTCCTGTTTCAGGATGCATTCCTGGATATCCGATAACGCCCATTGAAACGGTTAGCAGAACACGGGGTTTTTCGAAGCCAGCTTGGAGTACCTGCCAGAGAATCCACGCGATTATCTCATGGATCCCGGAAAACTTCAGAAACAATATTAAATGGTTGCTTGAAGAAGAGCCGAAATCCGAATGTCGAACGTCTAATTTTGGATTTGCACTGAATTTGAGCACCAGCAGTCTGTTGGGTGGAGCACAGCACCTGTTCGGTGTAGATCCACACAGCCATTTTCTCTAACAGGACAGTTTCCGGAAAGACCTGAGATCCTAACTCGCTCAGTTGACATGGGCAGTAGTGGAAATAGTAAACAATCTTAAATTCTCTAAATTTTTCAGGCTGTGTCAAGCCGGGCCCTTATGGCTTTCCGCACGCTGGCTGAAGTACCACGTGTATTAGAACACTGGAGTTGCCAACCAACACTTGTAAGTAGAGAGATCCTGTCTTGTGAACCTACGAAAGGTTGGGAGTTTCACTCGTACAGAAATTCTTGGCTGAGGTAAGGTTCAATGCTTGAAGTGCCCAGAAGCCGGGGGGTCTTTAGCTGACACTGATTCTTCCGCATAGGTGGCCGAAGGAGAATGCAAACAAAAAGGCGAAAAAAACAACAACACTTGGAAGCGGAAAAGTTCTATTGATGCATCTTTTAGGGGAGGGGAGTCTACGGAACTCAAACGATCTCCCCAATCAATCGATGTGCTCTTTGCCATCCGACACAGGGCACAGCATTGGTTGGGGATTCCCATAGGGGGGGGGGGTCGTATTTGGCCGCCAGGAGAGGGGGGGGGTCGTAATGAGTGCGGTAGCCAGTATCGAGCAGCGCAAGGTTTCAGTGTGCTGAATCTGTGTAGCGGAACTTGCTTCGTAGAGAACTCGGATATGTAAAAAAGTAGTACAAAACTTTCAACCATCAAACTAGTCGAAATGCTGGAATTATTATTAATAAGTCGACAACATCTCGTAAGTCGTTGATGACTAAAACAGTACACTAATACTCTGGGTTCGTTGGCGGATGATGGGGCGTGTCCGGATCAGCTTGGCGGCTGAAGCCAACTTTTTTTTTTCGATTAACGAAGGACACGGACATACCATTCGTTCGCATCAGACGTTTTTCCAGCATTTGGTCTCCTTTATCGGAATCAGCAACTGGGCGGAGCACAGATCTGGCGGCGTCGACACGGAACACGCTACATCATCCGCAAGGGAAAACCTGTAAACAAGTGCACGCCATTCGCCATGGACTCTCTGAATCCTACAGACATATTTGCTCGCAGTGAACAGACATTACGCAAACATTTGCACATCCGCACTCATCTTGGGCAAACCTCAGTGGGCGTGGCGCATCCAAAGTTGGCGTGATCGGCGCTAAACGAACCATATTCTGCTCCCGCTCCACATAGGATACGTTTTTCATGCGTTCCTGTTATTCGAACACGCTCACTTGAAACGATACACAGGAAACAGGGTTTTTTCAGCGCAGCTTGGCACTGCGCAGAAATCCATCGCCAGATTTCATGGAATCCCGAGGACTTGCGAAACAGTTCAATAGGTTTTAGAAAGAGCAAGTCTTCATACACTCGAATCCGTTCTCAGATTGTGAAATGTTGAGTTACAAAAAAATATATTGATTCAAACACTTATTCCTGAATAAAATCCCTATTGAATCCCAAGGCAATTTCTCTGTGATTTTTGGCGACCTTCATGAACATTTTAGTACTTTTAGGAAGCTCAAACCTTCCTCTACACGAGTACGCTTTCCTCTTCCCCATAGGTCCGCTTGTGAGGAAGTTATGGTCCTTCAATGACACCCCTAGCTTGTTGAAAATTTGTTTTCCACGGCTTGGTCCTGCCCAGAATTCCCTTCCTCTTGGTACTCGCGCGGCGATTCAAACGGCTGGCGCGCCGGAAAGTTATTCAAAGGAGATTACTCGGGCTTCGTTCAGGGCTGTTATGCATTTCTTTTTGGTTTTCTTTTCTGTTATGACACTTTTTGATATTTTTTTTTTTCTTTTCAATCACAGTCTCCTTTATTCGCCTTAGAGTTTCAATGCTGCTTTATTCTGGATGCTTTTCGTCGCAGGTTCGAGCTCATAATGTTTTTTTTTCTTTCTTTTACAAACGGCAAAAAAAAGGGGGGGGGTCGTACGCCACCCCAAAGGGGGGGGGTGTACAGGCTCGACAAAATCTCATCGAATGCTGTGCCCTGTCCCACAGAAGCCGCCATCAACTATATCTCATGAAACTCGAAAAAATTTCTGGCCATTAGTTCACATTTCTGGAGCGATACAACGTAAGCTCGGAATCATTAAATATTTATGACATTTAAATACATGTCCGTAAATCGAAGCATGAACATTAGATGAAAACAACAACATTCAATATTATCAAAGTCAAACAGAAAGGCAGGAGATCATGTGGAGCCAAATGACTTTGATAGAATCGGTATCTGAAAAAGGTTTTTAAAAGAAATTCTTCAGAGTTTTCCCAATCTCTCAGCATTAGCGCTAGTAGCTGAGACTTTGAATTAGAATATAGTACTTTGTTGATGAAGTTTTTTGACGCTCATCGTTCGTCGATGATGCTGTACACAACCGAATGATAGTAAATCGCGGAAGCAACGTCGAAAATCGCCATTATACATTGTATAGATAATCGGATTCAACACCTGAAACAATAATAAGAAATCGGAGCTTCAGATCTTCACCAGCTGAAGGAACGGCACCCAGGAAAGCTGCCCGCACCCTTGGTCTGGGAAATATAATACCGCTCCCGTTTTGTGGTCATCGACGGTTTGAGACAGATTCTTCCGTCGCAAATCGTCCTATTGCCATAACTTCCGTAGAAATATTTCGAGGCGACTAGAAGTTGACCAATGGATAGCTCAGACCATGGCGAAATTTGATGCACTATGAAAATTTCACTTTCCATCGATTTTTTGGCCTTTACCTGAGAAGTTCCACAAATGTCTCCCATCACACGAGGCGCCACCGGGAGACACGTGTGGTCGTGAACCCCCCGGTCCGATAAGTCTCCGATCTGAGCTCTCAAAAGTCGCAGATATTGGCATTCGGGAATATGAGCTTTCTCTTTATCAACCGGCTTTGCTGAGATTTCGGTAGAATTTAGTCCGGAAAAGGTACAACTACTCTTCATTGTTCTAAGCTTGTAGCCTTTTTGCAGCCGTATTTTCTAGGTAAAACGAGTTCGTCTAAACTCTGTAGTAAGTATTCAGAGTCTAACATTGTAAACATGGGAAAAGTCGGCAATATTTTTAACCAAATACAGAAGCCTGTCACATGTTCAGGCGTAATTTACGTAATGCCCTGATAATCACTGGGTACTCGTCAAAATCTGCAAGTCATGAGATCGAGAGCAACATTCTGAATTATCCTCCCTTCAGAAAAGAATAAGGAGGAAACCCTCAGAGGAGGAGCCGCCGAATAGGAGACCCTGAACACTTGCCAAAGTGTTTTGACCCAAAGGAGTACGGTTTGGCGCCAGGACAGCCGGTTTCCCACCATTTGTTGACGTTTGCCCTTTCAGCGTTGAAGGGGAACGGACTGGAGTTGTGCCAAGTCAGCTAACTGATACGCCCATGAGTCCGAAGAGCGATATTGTAACAGTGACTCAATACAGATAAAAACGACAGTGCAGTCATATCCGAGTGGAAGCGGACTATCGCATGGATGGGATTGTTCCTATAGAACCGCTCCTCGTTGATGCTCATTTCTGATTCAGAACAAAGGGAACGGGGAACTCGCGCTAAGAGTGTGATTAGAAAGTTTTTGGGTGCGAGTAGGAAATTGTCAAAACTTACAGAATTCGAATAGCCAAGCCAAAGGAAGAATTCGCTGATTAGCTTGAAGGCACTGGAAGAGCTGACAGACGTGGCAAACACTTCAATCAGGTACATGACGAAGAACGGCATCCAGCAAATAATGAAACCTGAAATTTACAGATTTTATCATATCTTTTTCATCTCATTTCTCATCTATATGGCTGGAGCTATTTCATCGCTCTGTTTTTTCAGCTGAGATGCATGCAGAATGCACAGAGAAGTTTATCATTAGCCGCAAACTCAACTGTGGCCCACTGCTGCTATGGCATCATTGGCTACCGCCACTTGTCAACCAATCAGAGATATTATTCGAGCATGGTATGGTTCTGTATTTGCGCTAGTTGAGAAACGCTACAAAGGGTTCCATTGTGAAGTGGTGAACGGTCACGATCCGCCAAAAGTTATTTTAATGCTTCGAGAAGTTCAGTGACGTTTCGTGAGAATTCGCGATTGTCATGAATTTTGGTTTTTTATATGAGATTTAGGTTACCATGAGGTTTTGAGGGCAAATATTCAGCTGATAGGCAACCTAGGCTTGAATCTCGAAATTTTATGAAAAGGTTAGATCAGTTGAATGATCACTTACCCATAACAACAATACCGATAGTTTTGAGTGCTTTTCGTTCTCTCAGATAAACCATCTTCTCTTTTGAACCTCGTACCGCTTTTCCTGGTCCATGGATGTGATAGTGCTCATTAGCCTTGAAGAGAAAAATCGTTAGAATAAGGTAATGCATCAGACTTGGTGAGTATCACAAACCTTAGCAAGTAAGTTATTCGGTTGTAATCGAGCATGAGCAGCTTGAGCTCGTCGTGTCATTGACGGTACTTCTGAGTTCCCTTCTGTACTTTTTCGTTTCGGAGGGATCTGTAAGTCATAGTTAATATTCAGGATAGCAGCTATACTTGACAACTTCACTTTTTCAATTGCACTGTTTCTTATATTAGGGTGTCCATAAAGTTCGTTGGCCATTTGTAAACAGCGTCGCGTTACGCAACGCGTTGTGATTTCGCAATGCTGAAAGTACTCGCGATGGGCTATCTTCTGAGCTAGCTAGCTCTGAATTTCCTTTCCTGCTCTTCCCACAATAAAGCAGTGAAGATGAGTGATAGTCACCACCACCGCCGATGTTTGCTGGACTGCTACAACCTGGGCATCTCCAGACGTCAGGCCACGACCAGGATGCGTCAGCAGTTTGGTGATAACACCCCTTCTAAGAACTGGATGTCAAAATGGTGGACTCGCTTCACCAATGGAAACTATGGCATCGAAGATATGCCGAGGTTTCTGGTTCTCTCGCCACGGCGTCGTCCACTACAGCATTTTACCCAACAATGCCACAGTGACGGCAGGGACCCTCTCTAAAGATTTGCAGGAGGTCAAGGTGAAAGCTGCCCGCCTTGTCCCAGAAACTTGCAAATCCGTGGTTGCTCTGGGACAACGCGCGCCCCACGAAGCGAGAGATACTCAGGCCGTCCTGGACAGGCTGGGCATCAAGACGATCACGCATCCACAGTATAGTCCGGACATCAGTCCATGCGATTACCACATCTTTCGGTCCATGCAAAATTTCTTGACGGAAAACAGCTGAAGAACGAGCGCGACCTCAAGGACGTGATCGAGGACTGGGCCGAGTCACGGCCGGTCGGCTCTTGGGAGGATGGAGTTACCTCTCTACCCGATCGTTGGCGAAAGGTGGTGGGTATGCATGGAGATTATGTCATGGAGCGGTAAGTTCAACTTGGTGAGTTATCTTTACAAGCTCTGAAAAAACGAATGGCCAACGAAATTTGTGGACACCCTAATAAAATAAGCTTAGTAATATTCTTGCTTGATTCCTTGTTGTTTTCCCTTGGTTCATTAACAAGGAAAAGTTCGGAGTCAGCCAGCGAAATCTCTCCATCGGCAAGGAAGAAGGTGTGCGAGATGACTCTTCTTAACTACCCTACTGACTGTAAGTACAGACCCTAGTTCGGGATATCCGGATGTTTTCGCCGGCCGCGGTAAAAGCAGCTATTTTCCTGGCCATCAAGCGGGGATTTGTGAAATCTTGCCAAGCAGTGGAACCGTACCACAAGTTTGTGGAGACTACTTGTCAAATCTTGTAAAGCATATACCTGCCAACCCTGGAAATGCAATGAACACAGCAAAGGGAAACAGCGAAAGTGCTAATCGCTTTCTCTCCCCCCTCCCCAGCCGATCTGCGCCTTGTACATTGTTCTTTCTCACATTTTGGGGTTTGAGGTTGACGGCATGTGACCCTCAAAATTTGAAATGGAAGAATGCAATCGATGGATTGCTGGATTTCTCGAAATAAGTCCGGAAGTAAAGGGCGTGTTACGTGAGCTGCCAGCTGGGCACGCCAGCGTTGTGATCAGTTCAGCTCTGTGATCAGTTCCTGAAAAATACGACCCCCCTAATTCTCTCCTCAAATACGCCCCCCCCCCCTCCCCATGCTACCTATTACTTTTCTAGATTTTCCCGACTTCCGACCACTTTTCCAACTACCAAAAAAAATTTTTTAGGACCAAATACGACCTTCCCACTCCCTCGTCAAATTCGAAAGGAAATTTCCCAGTCGAGTGAAGATTCTTTCTTGATTCAATTTTCGCGATTTTTCCCTTCCATGTGCGCTTTACTCCTTCCCCTTGTTGACGATCATGTTAACGTCGCCGTTTCTCGAACCCTGAACCCTGGCTGCCGTGATCTCATTGGTGATGACAAGGTTAGCGTGTCAATGGAGATAAGGGCGGTGATTTTTTTTGCGAAATGTCACAAATCTATTCAGCCATTTCTCCGAAACTGCAACTTTCATGCGGCATTCACTTGCGTTAGGCAGCGTTCAGACTTCGCGACGGCAGTGCTACGGTCGCGCGTTCGACGCGATCGATGCAGTTGCGCATCGATCGTCGAATCGCGCGACCAAAGCGCTGCCGTCGCGAAGTCTGAACGCTGCCTTAGTGAGCCAGTTTAAAGAACCCCTCCTCCTGAACATCATCTTTGCGCACCTCGTAAAACAGTAGCTTCCCGATTATTTATTTGCTGGTCAATCACAATATAAAAAAATGCCAGAAACAAGACAGTAATATTGATTGTAGTGTAGCCCAGTAAGAAAGAAAAACTGCACTCGTTCCTATTGCTGAACGCAGCTGCTCTCGATTACCGCCTCGTCCACTACAAAAACGAGCGCTACCCTCCTCTTATTTGCAGTTATACTTTTGATTGCACGTTCGTAGGAGAAAATATGCAAGGATAGCCCAAGTGAAAAAGTATAAGGCTCATTAGCCTTCGCTACAGTATTGTTCGCTACGGACCGCAGGGCATGTCAGGGGGATGGGATTGGCGCAGCGCCAGCTCGTTTCTTTTCTTTTTTCCTCGACAAGCGACAAAGCTGTACCATATCGTTTATCAGTCGTTTCCAACCAACTATTGTCGCCTGTTCAACAACAGGCGGAGAAAGGGATGGCGGCGCGACAAACCAGCCTTACTAACACACACCCCTTTCAACCGCAGGACTGTTCGACATCTTAGACAAATTATTTCACAGACTATACACTCACTTGGCCTCCATTAGCCAGATCGGCCATCGAGTAGCATTCCCTCTCCATGGAATTACGGTGTTCAGTTTCTGATCCATTAGAAGTTCCGAGTAATTGAGTTTCACCCGCAGACATCTAAAGAGCATTAACTTGTGGACGGAATAGTAAAATTCTGGTTAATTACACATTGTTATTGGTGTCTCAGAACTGCTGAGGAGATTTGAAGGATTCTCCTTTGATTGAGGGAAATGGAAAAACTTCAAGGGATACAGAGGAGCGGCCGAGTGGCCCTCCCTTATAACATTTACGTTACCGCCCTCATATTTTATTATTCAGTACTGGCATTTCACTGTACACAGTAGTCAGCTTACCTCAACGCTGTTGTTAGGCGATTCATCACATTCTGTTGAACGCGATTCCTGACGAGTTCCAGAATCTCGTCGCCTTGAAAAATACAAAAATCACAAAATTGTTTCGCACACAAAGATCGCACACAAAGAACGGTAAATAGGAAACAAATTGATCGGTAAAATAGGGTCAGTCTCTCGGATACGCATTTTAGGGACCCAAACGCGCCTAGGACAAAAAGCCATCCATGTCTTTGGATTGACTCGTACGTGACGAAATTGTAAAAGAGAAAGAGGAGAGTAAACAGGGAAGAACATCGTACATTGGCTCGAGCCATTCCTCGGAAAAAAGTCGCGTTTGGAGGCTTTGAGATCCTAAGTGAAGTGCGTGGGGCATCTCTGATGCTGTTCCTCGCAGATAATTTTACAATTTTTTTGAGTCGACATCGCGGAAACCTATCTTTTTGGTGATTAGTGGTAGAAGTCTCCGAAGAAGCTGCCGAGGTCGCTCGTTTGAAACCAAGACACTCCCGTCCCTTCTTTGTACCAAAACTAAACCAAATGAAAAAAACCAGTAACTTAGCAGTCACTAACCTGCTGTTATAATCAATCGGTCGAACTGAGTAGTTTACCCGTCCAGTGTTGGCCAACTGAACCCTTGTCCGGGAGTTTGGTGCGCTAGCCGTTCTACAAATCATAATTCAAAAAGAAAACACGTCCATGTTGAGAATTCTTCTGTCTCACCTGAGATTATTGCGATTGTTAGGATGTTGGGTTTTGGCAAGCCTATGACTTAGCCGACACGTACCAAGTGACTTCCTCATCAGAGCTTCACGTTCAGACGCAACACGGAATATTTTGAAATACACAGACAGCATCACCTGAATAACAGCCTCCCATAGGTACAATTCTCATCATTGCTTACCGGTGGGGCGTGTCAGCCAGAAGGAGTGCGCACACTGTTGAAGCCGTTCTCAGCCTTTATTCTTGCAGCGCGTATGCGACCAAAAGTGGTAGAAAACGAGTAATACGCAGGATATAATACAGCAATGCACTTGCCCGCTCCAAAAACTGGTGCAGAACGACTTTGCCAAATCGCACCAAACGCAGCCGCACTGCCACGCCCCACCGGTCCGCAATGATGAGGACTGTATACAAGGAATCTAGCTACAGTCTGTAAGTGAGGGCAACAAGTGCGGAGCTGTGAGAGTGGTCATGGTCCAGACGGAAAAGAGGCAGAGACGCATGACATGACGCACTACATGCAGCTGTCCCCGAGACGCTTTTTCTATGAATATGGGCGACACGGGAGCGGGTCAAAAACACTCGCCAAAACATTCATTGATGTACGCATGGACTTGTCACTAGTGTTGTTTTTTTTTGTTATAAGCTATGATAGTGTGAAGATGGAAAGCAGTTCTGGTGGCACAGTGGTTAGCACATTAGCCCGATGAGCGTGAGGTCCGAGTTAGGCTCCTGCCCGGAGGTCAACTCTCGCCCGTAACTGAGCATTTTTGTGCGTATAAAATTTTTTTCGTCATTGAGAGGGGCCTGCTTAACTTGCTCGTAAACAACAATTGTTGAGACACTACTCAGTTTTTTTCAGGTATGCACAAATTTCCCTCAAAAAATTACCTACAAATAGTTTTTTTTTCAATCAACACTTAATAATCACCAGTAGAGGGATGTAAAAACTTCCTAGCGCACTGTAGATTCGATACGGCACCGAGGGAGAATATCCACACATGAAGGTGTCATCAGTAGCAAGACTGGTGGAGTTTTCGGAAGATTCCTGAATTCGAAAATGTTTCATTTCGGTAAATAAATAGTGAACAGTAGCTCATTACGATTATCCTTTACAGCTACCTAGTCTTTAGTCTCTACTTACGCTCTAGTCACTAGTCTGGAAGGGTAGCAGTGAGCGCGGTTGTAGTTGGTAGTAGGTCGGCGCGCGTTACTCGCGCTACAGCGCGTCGGCAAGCGTCATCGCGCCGCCACAAGGTCTGAACGCTATCCAAAGGTTGCAAAGTGGGAGGAAGTGTCATACCCCGCTTGAGCAGTTCACAAGGTCAACTCGCTGGACACTTCAACTCCTTTCCATGAGCTCATCGGCAAGGAACTAGCCATTCAAGGCATGACGCGAGCTCATTTTTATGAAAAACAAATTTGAGAAAGATTCAATTGCGCAAAACGTCCCGATGGGACCTATTAGTGCCGCTTCACCAGCCATTTCACTTATTTTGCTTTGTAATCTGCAGCTCGATCTTTGTATTGGCTTTTCAGTTGTAAATAACGCGCTGCGTTTGCAGAACGTGCGGACGGTAACCTCAAAGAAAGCCAAAGTTTTGAGTTCAACTTTGGTCGTCTCACATTCTCTGGTGAGCAACATGATCATTGTGGATCCTGAAATGGGGATCAAGCTTGGTTGTCAGCAGAGAACATGAGGGAACTCGTGCAGGAGTGCAGTGACTGTTCTCAGGGGAATGTTGATTCTACCAGTTTCACTCACTGTATACCACTTCCCAAGCCCGTTTACGCACGTTGGATCGATAAATCAAAGTGCCCAAATTTTACAATTTTCCGACACAGCTGAATTCCGATTCAAAAAGTACTTTTCACGTTTCCATTTCACTAGACAACTTAATAGTAAAGTTCAATTTCATGGGGTGAAGCAAACCTGATGATGTTCGGTGAACAGACCCCATCCAGGAACAAACCATGGTGGGCTGCAAACAATTAGCGAAAGGATCCAAACGGCAGATAACAGACACGCTGCCATTTTCCGAGATCTGGAACATGTTTTTTTTTGTAGCGAAGCCAATTTTTTATTTTGTTATTTACTTCATTGGTGCCAATTTTTTTTTCAAATTCCATTATTTTGATTACTGTATCAGTGGAGTTAGGAAAAGCAGAATTGTGGTCAGTGATGGAATCAGGCCTGAGATAACTGGTGTATAAGGTTACCAGGGATATCAGCGCACGTCATTAGTTGAATTAGTTGGGGATTTTGGTCGAGTCCTTAGGGGAGGGGAAGGTTCAACTTTCAAAAAAAATTTTCTCAGACCAAATACACCTCCTCCGCCACCCTCAGCGACTAAATGTAACCCCTCTATTAGAGAATTCCAACGATGATGTGCTCGAGGGATATCCAGAACTGCTTCTCATCATCTGAACGTCTGGGATATGCCCTGTTCAGACGTAGTCCGTATTGAGACCCGTTTGAATGTTTCCAACATTCTAGATGAAGTCCTGTCAGTATTGCTACAACTACAGTACAGCTACAGCTTATAGGTCAAATTTTTTGGAAGCTATCTCGAATTCTGTGATTTTTAGCGCACTACATATGCCGCATATTTCAGAAAGCACTATTCGTTGTTTTTGACTGCTGCTTCTAATGAACTCCCGTTACTGTATTTTTGCAGCGAACTCACGTGGCACGCGACCTGGTAGACATTTATGTTTCAGTCTTCGGAGGGCTCAGTTGGATTACTGAAAAGGGCCATACCCATTAATTTAAGTGGTACAACGTGCAAAACGCACAGTCTAGGGTCGAATCCTGGATCGACCACCGTCTAGGTTAACCAAGCCTGCTATCCCGCTGGAAGGAGTTTACTGATACAATACCCTTGGGAGAACAACTGGCACAAATTTGGCTCCAGTAAGCAGCTGCATAGGCCAAATCGCTTTTGAAAAATCCAAATCGGCCAAACCAATGAGAATAATCCAAGTGCCGACCCTTGACCTCCAGACTGCGCGCCTAATAAACGGGCCACTTGCCACAGCGATACCGTGGACATAAAATAACCCTCGTAATTTCAGCGTGAAGAACTTTTTAGTCCCCTTCTTGATTGTTATACCAAGGTATAATACTGCTTAATTAGTTTTTAGAGGTCAGTTTTTCCTTCTTTTACTTAAATAAAGTAACCAAGGTGCTTCCTGCCGTTGAAGAGAATTTTTGCGAGATACGGCTTTCTCTCGAAATTTTTTCCTCTAGCGTGACCACGTTTTCTCATCCCATTTATCATCTTCTTGAATTTTCCCGGATTTCTACCAGTTATTCCGAAAGAACATGAAAATTTCACAGTATGCCGTTGAGCGGGATGGAGGGGAGGGGGGTGGTGGGCTGATATAAAGCGCACTTGAAAGAGCTAAAAGCTGAGCGAAGACAACAGACATTTTTCTCAAAGGGGAACACGACGCTCTCTCCCCGCTGGGGATACTCAACCTATGACGTGCCCTGATAGAATGTACCTCTGGAAAACAATTCGTACTACATTAGTAGAACGGTTTTTATGATGTTGCATTTGTTCTGTAGTAATCTCTGAATAGATGCATTTTAGCGTATTTGTCTAGCAGAACCCTACATGTTCATTCGACCACGCATAAACTACTCAGCGCTTTTGTTATGTGGCCGTAGTAACCTGCTTCATTTCTCCTCAACATCGGTTCAGTAAGGACAGTGAAAAACAAAGACTTCTGGAGTGTTGAGATTTCTGTTCTATAAAAGTAGTACGTGTTAACCGCTGAAAAGACTGAGGTTTCCTCGCTGAAAGGAAAAGTGAAGACTTCGGAAAACTCTTTAAAAAATAAATTTCCGGCCCAACCTTTGCCAGAAAGCAATGGATGGAGTGCAGAATTTATGGAGATCACATTGCTCCAAGAGGCTGAGGAAAAGGTGCGTTGAAGAGGGTTCACAAGCGCAATGCTCTAAGGCCGGAGAGTTTATCATTATCCCCTGAGTTTTTTCCCCTCAGAGCAAGGCAATAAGTTTAGGCTAATAATCTGGTATACCGTAACCACTTTTAAGCATAAAACTAACAGCATCTATCCCGTGGACGCACACAACCCCCCCTCTCCGCCCACGCTTCCTAGCATGAAACTCTCGTAACTCTGTAGGCATATGCATTGACTACCCCATTGACCGTATCCCATCCCTTCATTGAGGCACCCTGCCACCCGCATCCCCTCGATCTACTGGGTTTTAATTTACTCTGATCGAATTCACTTTCCTTCCGGTATAACTTTCTTGTTGGGAGCTTTCTTTCCACGAATTGCTTCGAATGGTTTCCTGGTACTGAAGTAATGCTGTCTAACTAATAGCACGGCACATTCGGCAGAGTATGGAGCGTCTGAACAAAACGGGAAATTTCACTACAAAAGCTTGCCTATGCATGCGGTAGCACTGGAAAATTATCCCCAAGTGTTCGATTGAGTGGGAGTTTGTGGCCCATTCTTGACGTTTTAACACCGGCATCCCACTGGGGAACTCTTCTCTGTTGCTGAGAATTACCCTCATAATAATGCCCAGAACAGGGACACTCCGTTCCCAACACGCTGTTCCGGGAAGCGGTAATCCAGTGAGTCGCTCTGGAAAAGACCACCACCAGTGGCATTCGGAATTAGCGCCGTTCCTTCGCCAGTGTTCCCAGTGATGAGCGATACGGCAAAATAATCAGCAGGGTAAATCCCTGACGTGACCCAGCTACAGAGAATTACTATTTGTTGAGCAAATTTTATGGATGTTTGGTTCTCGCAAGTAGTGAAAACAGCCGACATCCATTTCTGTGTCCTCCCTCCCTCCTCCATGGGAATGAGTGACTGACTCATTCCCATGGAGGAGGGAGGGAGGACACAGAAATGGATGACTTGGACTTAAAGAAGTTACCGTCAAACGGGACCGGGTGTTGGGCGTTTAATAGTCATGAAACGAAAAAAAACAAAACTCCCAGCGGCTAAATACGACCCCCGCCCTTATGCTATACCCTGGGTCCATTTCGTGAGTTTCTTACAAAAAAAGCGGGTTCAGCTCCCCTAATCAGGGCACGTGTTGCAGCTCGGAGAATTTTCGAACAATCCGAGCCCTAGTTTCCTGCTCTGATTCAACCCTCCCATTCCCATGTTACCTACCACTTTCTTAAATTTTCCCAGTTTCCCAATATTTTTTCCAACTTTTCCGGGATTCCCCAAGAATTATCCGGTTGTTCCCTTATATTTGGTTGTGGAAGTCAACAATCGGGAAAGAAGATTTTGCCAACGCCGCAAATTTTTCTCAAAAACAAATATGACCCTCTCTTCTTACAAAGAAAAATAAATTTTCCCAGACCAAGCACAACCCGCCCTCCCTCCCACAGCGACTAAATACGACCCCATTTGCTGGGGATTTCCCAGTGTACGACGTGGTCTGTCCCTAATTCGAAGTATAGAAACTGATTCAGCGGCAAATTGGTTCCGCATTGAGGAACTCCACGTGGCGCTAGGCACTTGTCCCATTTGTGTAGAGCTAGGGTTTATAATGATGCTGATATGCTCAATGAGCCGCAAATAGTAGCCATATTCAGCTGCTTTGCTCCTTTCATTGATGTGCATGCAATCGTGAAATCTCTTGGCGACGGATGAACCCCACCTCTTTCTTCATTCCCTTTCAATCCCCGCTACCCCCCATGAACAACATTCAAACCTTTTCAGTGGTGAACAGCATCAAAACAAGCATTCTGTGAATTGAAATCAAACGTTCTAGCAACAACAATCGTCGCTTCAGCCATTTTTGCTAGATTTATCTATGAGGGTTACGTATACTGCCACAATATGTATGAAGAACTACTACGGAAAGTAGGCATCATGTGTTTACTAACGCTTTCAGCCAGTAACTGAGTTTATCGTTGAACCTAACCTGAGCGACGGAAATAATTTCAAGGTCTTTGAAGCTCTAAAGGGTAACTTCATCCAGTGTTGCAGCTTCTACATTAGGAAACCTCTTAAGGAATCTTCTTCTTCAGTCAAACATTCCCAATAGTGGAGAAACTGAAGCTTTTCAGCGGCTTGAATTTTAGATTAAAAGTGCTTAACAACATCAATTACCACAATTAGCTTTTATGCTGTGTAAAAAGATAAAGCGTTAGGCGGTAATCGATCGCTTTTTGGGAGAGGCCACCCTACATTCATTGCAGAATCCGTTTGGTCCATAGAACGACTTGGAAACAGCCTATGAGCATCCATAATGTAATCCCACATCTTCAGGAATCCGGCCCTGACCGACTCCTTGAACACAGTTTCCGCGATCAAGTGATCAGCAAAATGCCTCCGTACTTGGCGCCGTTGTCCGCATTCGCAGAGAATATACCATTTTCGTCATACATGATAACGAAGCTAGAGACGCTTGGTTTTTGCAACCGGTGCAACCGCGTACTGTAACACTGCGAGGCAACGGCTTACAAGTGGAATTCCGTGTGCGCATAGTGTTGCCTGGAGTGTTGTAGGGCAAATTTCTATACTCGCTGGGAACTGATGGCGCCTAGAATCCTGCTGATTGGGCTTGTTCTCACGATGAGCTTGTCGAAGGCGCCGGCGCCACTACTAGGGAGGAGGGTCTCTGCTCAGGTGCCCGAACTTTTTTCGCTCCTTTCTTTACTGATGAGTTTATAATGGTTCATAACAAAGCACCTGCTACCTGTTCCACTTGATCGCGGGTATTGCCTTTAAGGATGGATGATAATGATGGCCCGATTGGGACTCGACTCAGAATTCCCCTCTCAGATCGTGAGCGAGGTGGCGTGGTAAGCAGCGCAGCATATAGTACAACCTTAGCTCTCTATCCTATGTGGGGTCTGAAAAGACTCAAATGGTCGTGCACTCGAAATGCTTATAATGGGCTAGAACATTAATAAACACTCTAGAATTCCATGTTGAATACTACTGGTCAATGAACACCCAGCAATCTCTATACTGAATAGTAGTGAACCTGAAGCAATCTACGAGAAAAAAATGAAAAGTAAGAAAAGCTACAATTTGCTAAATGACAATAGGAACGCGCCAAAAGATTGCAACTGTCAGGCAATGGGAGAAGGGGAGGGGGAGGGTGACAAAGGACTGCCTACCGTTCTCCACAACTAAAAGGTAGCGAATTTCTATACTGGGGCTGAGAGACGTGACGTACTAGGTGATAAGTGTTTGGTTGGACCTCTCCATTGGGCGCTTATGATCTGATCAGCTTGTTCCAAAGTTACTCGTTACCCTTTGATCTTCTCCACTTCCGTTCACTGAATAGTGAAAAGCTTCGAAAGATCTAAACAACCCACAAGCAGATTCAAGCCACGCCTTTGTCGCGCTATCCCTAGCCAATAAACTCGTTATCCCTGCAAAGAAGAGGGTATGCGAGAAGACGTGGATAGAATCGCAGCCAGGGCGGCCTTGATGGTGGAACTGCCCTGGCAGCGCTCCAAACACGCCCCTTCGCACGCTTTCTCATTTGCAGGAATAACGACTGTTTATGGATATGAGCTTCTGATGTGACTAGTGAGCCACCGTCAAGGATGTTCAGCTTGAAGGCCTGTGACTAGTGACTTGTGCTCGCGAGTTTCTACTACTTTTGAGCGCCATATCGATGATGGTTGCAAGAACGGGAAAAATCCAGAGAAAAAAAAACAGTTCTCCATAATAGAGGGCAGTGCGAAGCTCCAAGTATAGGCATGATCCTTGGAAACAACGGGGCGGGTGAAGGGACGTTAACTGGAGCTACACCTGTTGCGGACTCAGGCAATCACTGGAAAGGGCGCTCTAGCAGCCCTCCAATTCAGGCTCCTTCACACCTTTGCAGTACTCCATTACTGTAATTGGGTGCTGGTCTCACATAATCAAAGTGATCTCTTCTAATAGCCACTTCTCCACGTTTCCCAGTGAACCCTTATAAAAGGAGCAAGCTCCATTCCTCGTTCTCCAACTGGAAAAGTAGGTACTTAAGGCCTATTGGTAATGGGCTAAGTAATGTATTTTTTCTTCTGCGACCTGAAAAACGGTCACTCTCAACGGAAGCAGCAGTGTCTCGCGAATGCTTTGCTGCAGCCAAGGGCAAGTTTTTGTGCGACCTTTCAAGTGCCACATAAAAAGGCAACTTTCGTTCACAAGTAAGAAGTCAATGCATTGATAAAAAAGCTAAACGTAAAACTTCAGGTAACATGACTACCTTGTCCTCGGATATTTGAGCGGTGAAGTGATAGCCATATATCGATCCAGGCTAATTACACAAAGATTCAAAATACTAGCAGTACAAAGCAGCACATCAGAGGTGGCCCATAAGCCACACAGGAATTTTCCTTAAATTAAAAATTATCGTGAAGCCTCTTGTGATTTTTCGAGCTCTTGCGTGTTCAGCGATTGGTTGCCACATAGTTACCACCAATCACGAACACGCGGCTTGGGAGCCCGAACAGCAAAACGTGACCTACCTAGAGGCCATTGGTGATTATGAAGCAAATCGAGAAGTGACATTGGCATCACGACAAATCCCACCAAAAGATCTAGAAATGTGTACATGATTAAGAAATTCGCACATCAATCAGGGATGCTTCAGCGATGTATTAAAAAACATACAATCTAAAAAATATTGGAATTCAATCGAAAAACAGACCTGCAGTGGCTAATGAGGTTAAGAGAATATTAGTAAATGTACGCATTCGTTTATAGACAACCACAGACAGGACAACGAGAACGTTTCCGAATACAGTCATCAGTATCATCATCACCTATAAATGAAATAAATGGTATCAAAACCGGAATGGTTGAGAATATTCAGTATTAATAGCCTTCTAGTAAGAAATAGCCGTATTAATAGCCTTCTCTGTTCGCTACGGACGCTGGGCGTATCAGGAGGCCAAGTTCCGCGCAGCGCCTGTCCGTTTTCCACCAACCGCGGAACCCTTCGAACGACCGCGATTGGTGGAATACTGGCGGATGCTGCGCCAAATCCAGTCAACGTCATACGCACGAGCGTCCGCAGTGAAGACTGTGGAAGAAATTGATAAAAAAAGAAGAAATTAAAAAGTCCCAATTAGCATTCAACTGTCTTTTTCGAGCAAAAATAGGCGGAGGCGCATATAATTCTGAGGTGAGCATTCAGACGACTCCCTCTCAATCCCTTTCTTACTTTTCATTTGTTCGGCTTTTATCCCACAGATTTTGTTTTCATGATTCCTCTTGGAGCAAAATAGACGTCCCTCTTCTATCTTGGTTCGGCCACACCACCTGCTTTCCCTTTGAACTTAAAGTCGTCATCCGGGCAGCTGATTAGCCGGCGAAAGGGTCGCGACGCGGCTGCGGTGCGCCACAACCGCGGCGATCAGCTGTTTCCAGCCTAATTTAGGATTTTCTAACTAATTCTCACTGTATCTCTTATTTCAAGGTATATTGCGTTAAAGGACGTGAGCTCGTTCTTTTGTTCATGTAATGGAGTGTTTTTCGCAATTTTTGTAGGTATTTATTTATTGCTTGTTCAATCGTTTAATTGTTCGCAAAAGTTAGTAAAATCTCAACCGTGAAGACTAGGAGCAGCTAACCTTGAAAAAAACCGGCAAAAACTGTGAAAAGTAGGGAGAAAAGGACTAAACCAGGCCAGGAAACAGCTGGTCGCGGCAAACAGTTCCTCCGCACGCGGTCGCTGCTGCAGCCGCGTCTGCGGCCTTTGACGACCTCCCTAATCTACCGGATGGCGAGTGTAGCTGAAAGTCCACATCTCCACTGCGGGAGTCCCAGTTCCGCACAAGAGTCCTTCGATGTCTTCAATAATACCAGTCGTAAAAAAATAGAGCACATGAAATACACCTAACGCCACGCCCAGCCAGAATCTACCTTTTCGCCTATGTTTGTTCAGCCGGAATAACCATTCTGGTGAAGGATTTCTCTATACTACGCTCGTTTTCGCTGCGGACGTCAGGCCGTCAGGGGATGAAGTTTGGTGTCGCATCAGCCCGTTTTATACCAATTGTTGCTGCTTGCCCGCTTCGACCATTGGTGGAAAAGGGGCTGGCGCCGTGCCACACGCAGCAGCATCTGCAGCGAAAATGGCTACAGAACCGCATTCGTTTTACACTTGAATTCATAGTCGACAATTTGGCGCTACTTTCTAGTCCCACTTCCAGCGAATTTCAACGCTTGAAGTCACATAGTCCTTTCCTTTACTTGTTCTTTGAATCGAAGCACTTCATAACAAGTCAACGACCGGAAAGCGATGACGCGATGGCGTTAACCAACTGCGTCATCACATCATCTAGTAGCCTGATGTTGCTCTAACAATTCTGTTAATTGCGTTAGAGCATTGCACGAACAAGATAAAGTTTACTGCTTTGGGACAGGCAGAGCTGGTGGATAAGAAACGCTTACAAGATCAAAAATTTGAAAAGGCTTATATTTGTACTTTCTCTCATTTTCTTTTCATTTGTTTCATTTTATCTAATGTTGTTCAAGCTCCACTTATTTGATTTTGGATTTTAAAGTTTCAATCACGTGATGTATTGAGGGAGTGCGATTTAGCTGAAAAATACAGTCAACAGAAAGAGACCAGAAAGATACAATTGCTTATAATTAGGCTTTTCAGATGACTAAACCTCCTTACGAACTTTTCGGAATGGTAGCGTTAGCTTTTCAAGACTTCTCAATTATTTATAGAATTACAGTAATCTTGCGAAGAGGAGGGGCGTTTCTGGGATTTTACACTTGAAATCTGTGAGATGCGGTAGGCGCGGCTGCATACGGGAGCTTAGATACAAGGGAATGATGACACGCCTCTAGCTTCCCGCGCCTCATCGGCAACTGTCCACCGTAGCCGCTGCCGCGTCTAGAGCACGTCGACACGTCCTGTCTATTTCAGGAATATGGAGTCTACACACGTGGCTCACATCGAATAGATCCCGTTATAGCATGTTGATCAGTCACAACCTGGTAGCGTAAAAGAGCTATCAGAAACATTCCACGAGTCAGCTGTTTTTCAGGCCCATAGTAGTCCCTGGTTTGGACGATCTGCAAGAATAGAAATTCCAGAATAATCATAGTCATTCCAAGCTCTGGCCTGGGACAAGGTGGTGCGGTGTCCTCTGTATACTCATCCAATCACGACCTCCTTTCGCAAGACCCATCAAGGTAATCGCCTTCGCGTTTGCTATTTTGAAGCCATTTCATTTATACCACTTTCAGCGTTTTCGTAAAAAAATGGCGCAATCAGTAAAAAAGGGAATGGTGAAGAGGATAGGTAATGTAGCCACTGTGCTGGCGCTGCTATCACAGCCATTGTTCGGGAAACGAATCCGTCTTACTTCTCATCCATTATTTGGTACCAGGTTTATATGGGAGGGTAAATTGGCTCACTTGTGCATAGGTCGCCTCAGCAGGTCATTGTATAGGCAGTATCGCATTCAGTGAGCAACTACAATTCTGAATGGAAGTAGAATGCATGGCTTAACCAATCTCGAAAGCTCCATCCTTCCACAACTCTAGAAAAGCCAGGGAGGACAGGATATCCAAACAGAAGGGATGCTAAGACTGGACAAAAGCGCTCATGGCAACCCTCACTAGACCCCGAGGATACAGATTAGTGTGGGTAATTTTGGTAAAAACAATTCTTCATGTTGGGATCTTGCGTCTCTTCAAGCAATTTTTTCAAGGGGTTTATTTTGGGATGATTTTCTTGCATTGATCGCTGACCAGGATAATCCGCCTCAAGCTTATACCCGCCAAATTCCTAACTGAAATTGTTAATAGGGGCACTGTTCCGCGTGGGTTGTTCGTTTCGTCCCGTTTGCATTTGCACTACTTAGCTCCTAAACTTCCGCGTTTTGCAGGGAACCAAATTATCGTGCCCCTCGTGACGTAAGGCCCATACGATGGAGCGCTCTCAGCGCTACATCTTGCGCTTTTCCAGCAGAAGGAAATACCCCCCTATCATTAAGCCTATGCATTAGCAACTTTGAGCAAGGCACTAGCAAGGAAAGATAAGGAATTAGGGAGCGTTCTTTTTAAGAGATCGTAATGAAATACTTTTCACCAGAGTTGTTATTGTGTGTTGTGCTGAAGAGGGAGGTCGAGGTGGAACCATTTGGTTTTTTTATATCTAAAGTCCTTCGCTTTATGGATGCCAAAATGTCTGGGCGGTTTTTAGCATGGAGTTGGCATTTCGCACTTTCGCTAATCTCTCTTACTAGTTAATGCTGAATTACACCGCTAAGCCGAACTGCGCCAATTTTCGCTTGATCTGAATGAAATGCGATGTTTTCTCTTTTATTATTTTCACAGCATAATCAGTTTGCATTCCCAGTAGAAAACTGATGAGCAAAATTCAATAAGCAAGAATTTTGCGTAGGGAGCGATCTCGGTCGTCATTTCCTAAGAACCGAAAAAAAATTGAGAGAATAGGGAGTGAGAGAGTTTCTTAGCCATCCAGTCTACTCATCTGGTTCTCCTGGGCGGTTTCAGGTATTCCTAAGCATAAGTAATTTTCTCAGAAGAGAAACATTAAGATGGTTGAAATGAAGCCGAAAATATACAAAAATATTTTAAACAACTCGAGAGGAGTTGAAAACACGTTTCACTTCAATATCGATGGATTCGAAAATCTACCGGAGGCGAATTACATTACCCCTGGTATGTTCCCATATCCTGCCCCCACAACATATCGCGGCATTTAATTTAAATTTATTTACTATTGCAACTAATAATGTAATCATTAACACAGCAAGAGTGGAGACAAAAAGGCCCAGAAAAATTAGGGAGCGAGGGGAGCAGTGAGGGGAGGGCGAAAAATTGTAGAGGAAGGGCAATGCGCCGACACTGCAAGTCACTGTTGGGATGACCCCGTATACGGTCGACCAAACCTCTCCCTGTGCCCACAGATGTAGGACAAGTGGGGTCGGGGATATAGACTGAGTAATAGACAACTGCATATGTTGAGTACTGGATCGTGGCCCACCTCGGCGCTCCCCCATTCTGTAGCGCGGGCTGGTATGGCTTAGCGTCTTCATCGCGCTGCTTTTTCTTCAGATGTAAAGTTCTTCCTTGGAATGCTTCCATTTCTCATACACGCTTAGCTCAGAAATCGCACTTGGAAACTCCAAAGTTCGATCACCTCCACCAAACTAATACCTCTGCCCCAAACCGTTAAGAGCTGCATTCATTTGCTTATAAAGTCGACCTCCTAGCTGTAGGTAAACTTTCAAAATGGTTTGAAGCCAGAGAACGACCACTATCCTATCAAATGCCTCTTCTGCCCTGGCATTTCTGATGTCATGCTAGAGAGGCACGGAAAATGCTTACAAGTCAGCGAGAAAAGTCACGTTAGATCAGCCGTTCGAGAGTTGCACAGCGCGCAGTGATATCTAAGCGCACCACAAACATCCAAAGAGGAAGAAGCCTTCGAAGGAGTCACCAGCTTTTCATAGCTCTTGAGCCAAATTTGAAAAATTGAATTGAATTTGAGACTTTAAAAACTCTGAATAATTTGAAGCCCTGGCACAAATATGAAATACTTATCAACAGAAATATGAAAAATTAGATCATTAACCAGAAACGCCAGCAACAGCGACTTATGGAAATGTTGCAAGATGTTAAATAGCTTCGGTTCTCCAGCCAGTTGAGAGAATTTGAAGAGATACGAGCTAAGTATTCCTACAATAGGAGTCCAAGAAAAACACTGTTCTGTACGAATTCTGTGTTGCATTGCTCAATGCTCTCAAAAATCAGTTTACACTTTTAGTAA